CTTCGTTTTAAAGATTACCATTTCCATTAAGCAGAGGTACTTTGGAATTCGCGAGTTCATGTCGAATACGTCGCCACTAAAAAAAAATATTAATCATTTATATAGACATAAGAAATATTAACAAAACAAAATAAAATCATACTTGAATATATATAAACAAAGAACTTATTAAAAGAAATAAAAGACTAATCGATGGTAAAATAAATTTTATATACGAAGCAGCTTTTAATAATACTAATACTATCGATAATAAATAATGAATTTCAGGTGTTAGACGTGCTTCATCATCAAACCATACAATTGGCATTATAATTGGTTTTACGGATTTTAATAAACTAAATAAATAAATCTTTCTTCTAAATGATCTTCGAACAAAAACAAACCAAAGAATTACAAACCGAAGTTTTTTAATATTGGGCATATAAAAACTCAATTGTAATCGAACGTTAACTGCAAATGGAACACTAGTTACCTATTAAAATAAAAAAGAAAAATATTTTTAAGACAATTAATTTGTTTTTTTCTTTTTCAATTTAAATACTGGATCAAAACTCATAATAAATTCATGTTTATTTTCATCTGGTTGCATTCCGCGAACATCTTGACGAAATTTAATATCAGCTTGAAAAAAATGTGGAGATGAAATAAATCCCCATACTCCTACGACGCAAACAAAGAAAAAAAAAGAAAAGAAAATTCATTTTTCAATATAAAAAATTAATCATATACCTAAATAGCAAGTACTGATATTAAGTACACCATCACCTAAGCAAGAATTATGATTACAAAAACCATGATTTTCTTCTCGAGACATGTTAAATACATTTGCTGATAAATGAAAATCGTATAATGTTACATAACCATCTTTTCTTTCACGTAAAAATGATAGATAATACGATCTAATATATATTTTATTTTGAATATTCATAAATAAAAACATTTTTGTTTTCACTAATTACTTACCGACACATATCAGCATTATATGAATAAACTTGTGTAGTTTTATGTAAATTTGGTGGAAATAAAGATCCATCTAAATTTTTTTTTTTTGTTACAGAAAAATCAATTTTAAAATTTAAACAAAAAATATTTACCTGTTCCATTAAGCATATTTGCTTGAGGTGTAGACCAATAATTTAATGTTCTAAGTAAAAAAAAAAGAGCAATGACTGAATCATTTAGATTTCTTTTTCTCATCTATAAAATTATTCTTACCGAACACCATTAAATGAAACGACTTTTGCTACTTGAGTTATATCATTAATTCCAGTCTGAATAGTAAAATTTTGATAATATGTGTTATTTCTCTAAATAAAATATTAATAAACTTTAATAAAAAAAAAAAAAGAAATATTTATTATATTACAGCTTGTAATATTCCAAATTTATCATCTTTTAATACACCAGGTTTTACTTTACTAGCTATTTCAATTAATGGATCTGAATAACCTAGTGAATTAATATAAAAAATTTGATTAATTAAAAAGAAAAACAAAATAATCTTTTAATTTTCTTTTTACCTTCCATTAATTGTTTAACAGTAACATTAACAAATAATTTTGTTTCTAATAATTCAATAAAAAAATTAATACCTTCTTGCATTACTGGAGTATAAAATTGAACTTCATGTGCCATAGCCTATCGCAAAAAAAAACAGTTAATTATTTAAAAATTGTCAAAGATAGATTTTACCATTAATGGTACATTAATAACAGTTACATATTCATCATCCGAACCAATCGATTGGTTTCGATCAAAATAAAGTGTTGTTAATGGAATGTAAGAAATTGTATTTAAATCTTCACTATACGCAACATTTGATCGATTCCATTCTTCTCTAAAAGAAAAAATTTTCGTTTGATTTTTAACTAAATTCATTTATACTACACCGATAAACATAAGGTCCGCGTTCAATCAATTCTGGTATTCCACCATTTTGTACTTCAATAGGATTGGTACAATGCCATATATACATTTTTCGATGTATATTAGCTGGTGGATCTTTCCAAAATCGATGACCTTCTCGACCTTGAATAATAGCCATTTTCTACAAAATATTTTTTCTTTATTAAAAAATCAATCGAGCAAAAAATAAAGTTGCAACGAACATATGCCAATATTTTGTTCACAAGTGGATCAAATAAAATTAACATGACAAGTCCCATAATTAACCCAATGAAACTAATTATAAAACATATCGAACATTTACAATTTGTTCGACACGGCTTGAATGATGACATTTCTAATGAGGGATTCGGTATGTCGTTGGGTACTGAAATAAATGTGAAAAGAATTCTTATCTTACAAAAACTCTTCTCTTTATATGATAGACGTTTTTTTTCGTCCTTGTTAACATTACGTACCTGGGTCATCAGGATCATATGTGCTAAGATTTGTTACCATCAATCTCAAAGTATAATATGAAAAATGAAATATATTAATAGTAAGATGTAATGAAGGAAGATTATGTGTTCAAAAAAATATGTATCCTAGTGATAGTCAATGATGAAATGCATTTACCAAAATATCCTCATATCATATGACCCCATACGGAGTAAACATTATATAACTATCGGTAAAAAAGAGGAAAGACGCACATGTTAGAATCGTACATAGGGTTGATTGTAGCAATAAAAACACAAAGAACGAAAAGAAAAAAAAGCATTGTATTCATACATGAACCGAACAAAACAGAACTAGACTCATTTACATTTCTGATCCTCATAGTCATTTAATTGTAACTGTGTAGTTTCAACATCATCTTCGAAATTATTATTTGCAAAAACAATCATTTTCTATAGTTGTTCTGTTATTGTTCATATATTCATTATCATAAACAATAGTCATATTGATAATACGTAAAAAGATTGTTCTATTTTAACAAACTATGGGATGATACGAATGATCGTTTTGTATTTTTTTCCACAGAATAGATGTATAAATTATGTCTGCAAAGAACATGATACAATATGAATCATTTGTGAGATTTTCTTTTTCGTTCTATACTAAATACTTCAAAGATACCCAAAAAAAAAAACATATTCTTTATAGTCCTACATTATGTGAGAGACTGCTTATGTAACCATCAAAACACGAGTGCAGAAGGAGTAATTTACTCTTTGAACTACCTTGCTATTTCAAATATTGAATTATGGAGTATAAATAATGATGTTAAATACTTTTTTTAGATCTAAAAAGAAAATGATGGGTATATTTGTCATCTATTTAAAAAAAAAGTATAAGAATGAATGAGAAACAACTGAACAACATCTCATATTTATGTATACTATTTATAAGAGAGATTAGAAGAAGTGACGTGTCAGAAAAATACATATTTTAAGCACGATAGCGGAAGAAATTAACACAAACATTGAAATAAAAGCAGGAGGCAGATGACTCGTGTAATTCAACTGAAAAGACAATAAGTTCATTCACATAGAACAAAAAAAGAAAAAAGAATATTTGTATTCTCAGTCATACATTTGTTATCTATGAAAAAAATATGTCTATTTCCTATTCTAATGATTTATTACTAACTACAGTAGATAATGAAAAATTAGCAAGCATAAAATATCGCAACATCTTTTTGTTCTTTAGACTAAAAAATGATTTATTATCTATGATAAATTCATTCATATAATTAAACTGCTAAGATATAAAATATCTTTAGAATCATCCATCAAGAGATTATGTCTATATATAAAAATTGAAGATTTACATCTTGTCTTAGAATAATCTTGCCAAAGAAAATTATTGAAGAAAAATTTTTTTTCAAATATTCATCTACATACATGATGACTTTTATTTGCATGTTACACATCAAAGAAGTAAAACATTCAAGTATTAATTAGTACAAAAAAAGAATGCAACAGTTTCATGAATGGTAACAGGTGATGTCTGTTCTCTCATTAACTGAAAATTTGAATAGAGTTGATTATTGGTCTAAATTTGTCTCAACAGACTGGAAATTTTTTTTAAATTTCTTACGTCTATAACACATGATATCAGAAAAAAATTAATGATTGTGATTTCTAAAAACATGTTAAAAAATATTCATTTGTTTTATTTCCTTTGAATTTCTACTAGCTACTCGAAACGAACAAATTTGTCTGTAATATAGATGAAATTTTTTTGTTATTTTAGTGTATGTACTATAACAAATCAAACGAATATTCTAATCAATTCTACATGTTGTTTAGTCATTGAAAAGTATAAAAATATTATTCATTTTTCATGGAAAGAATTCATTTTTCTTAGCTATTTATTTGTCAATAGAACAAATTAATGATTAGTTTTTTTATTTTATTTAATTAAATAACTAAAAAAGAAATGATGGTATAAGTCTTACAACAAGCATTATTTTAACAGAGATAGAATTTCTGACAGTAACACAAGAATTTTTTGAAATGATTGGCATGATAATACACAATGTACTCTATCAAATGAAGTAGATAAAGCATAGTTCCGTTAATCAAATTGCTAAACATTGTCAATTAAATTTAAAATTTAAGAAAAATAAAACCCATTATATAGTTACTATTGGATGGATTTATATTTCTAAAGCGATGATTTTAAATTTTCTTAGCAATTAAAACACACACACTCTTATATACTATTAATCTGAAGCTTACACATTTGCGCATGTAACGAAATTTTTTTCTACATTAAATGCGAACATCTGATAAAGAAAAGCTTTTCATCAAACGATTAATCAGTGATATAAACAAAAAAAAGCTTTATATCCTTTATATTATTATTTCATCCAGCATGTGATCTGAAGACCGGCAGTCCTCCAAAATTTGGATTAGTCCTCCTGAAGTTCGTGGTTATTGTAACACATGTAATATTCCTATGTTCCAGAAAAAATTAGGCAGTCACCCTCCTGCAGTTTGAAATCGCTGTGTCAAACGAGAATATTTGAATAAAACATTGTGCCATAATTATCGTAAAGTAAATATGAACACTTATACCAGTATATTTCTTCAAAGAGTATGATTGAAATTTGCTTTTTAATTGTTGCTGTAAAAAAAACATGATAAACACATGAAAGATAAGAATTTTTATCCTTCTGAAATCTTGTATTAAGAAAAACCTCTTATGCCATTGTTTTTATTTCTTGAAATATGTGCACAGCCTAATCTCTTTTTTTGTCGAGATTACATTCTTCACCTGCTCATCTTATTATGGTCGCATGATTAAATAAGTTCATTATAAAGATTTCAGTATAATTTTTGAGTACCGCCCTCTCTTTCTCTCTGTCAAACAATGACATCATTTCTATTAAAAAATGTTCAATTAAATAACTGAGAGAATCATCGAATAAATACAAAATGGAATTCACACTCTCTTTATTTTTTTTTTTCTATAGTTAAACATCCAGTCAATCTGATTGATCAACATATAGAAATGAAAAGAAAATAAGACAAAAAATGGACAAATGAAGCTATAGAAGAGAAAAAGTAGACCGAGACTAAGACAGTTAAGATATGGAAACAAATCACACACTCACATGTAAGAAGTCACATAAAGATGTATGAGAAAAAAAAGATTAATCCAGGAGGAAAAAGAAAAAAAACAAAATCAATAACGTCGACATAGATGGATTGTATATCAATAACATTTAAAAATATTTTTTGCTATCTATCGACGATATGATGATGATTGAAAAACATGATACATATTTCGTCGTGGTGTTAATTGCATGAATGAATCTAAAAATAAAAAAAGTTTTTTTTTTTCGTATTATTTTTTTCATAAATAAAATTTTCTTACTTTTTGGTAATTGATTATATGATTGACTAAATTGTTGATCAGAAAACATTGGTTTTTGATCTTCTACCATAACATGCATATTAATTGGAGTATAGCCTTGTTGATTTTTTAAACGACGATTTTCTTTTATCATGGATAATGATGGAAAATATGAATACATCATTGATGTTTCTTCAGGTAAATGAATTTGATTATATCTTATAATAATAATTAAAAAAAAATATATATATAAATTAAATCTTTATTATAAAATTTTGTTTCTTTTTTTGTTACCTGAAATCATTTGATGTTGTATGTGGATCATAATTTCGATAACGATAACCTTGTTGTTTATCAACAATTTGATCAATAAAATTAACATGTGGACGATTAAATGTTGTTTCTGATGGTTGTGTATTATAATTTATATGATATGATTGAGATTGATCTTCAATTGGATCCATGGATAATGTTTCTTCTCGATCACATATTTGTTTTTCTTGATTCCAATGTAAACCAGTTGAACATGGTCGAACATGAAGTAAATCACCATCACATTGTATATAAGCACTAACACTAAATGCAAATGGATAATATTGTTCTTCATCATTTGAAGCACTCATACATGGATTTGGTATAGTATCTAAATGTAAAAGAAAAATAATAATTTTTTTTTTATTTGTTTTGAATTTTAATGAGAAATTTAATAAAAGAAATTACTTTGTGCACAAGTTAAACCATATGATTGTTGTTGATTACAAATACAGATATAATCTTGTTTATAATCATTTGTTATTAATGTATGACATTCATTACCTTCACCACATGGATTTGATGCACATGGTGATAATGGTGTTTCACAATGTTCACCTGTCCAAGCTCCTCGACATACACATTTATATGTTGTTGAACTTGTTTGATAACATTGACCATCATTCATACATGGTTGTTGTTGTTCACAAATTGATTCCATATTTTTATTTTTTTCACATTGATCAATTAATGCATTATAAACAAAATCTGTTGGACAATCCATTATTTCATATTTATTTTCATTTAAACATGATATATATTTTGTTGAATCTGTTGGATGTGGAATATTAGTTTTTATCGTTTGACCAATACAAGGTGATGCTAAAATAAATTTCATTTAAATAAAAAATAAATATAAAACATTTCAATAATAACATACATTGATCTAATGATTGATTAATTGATTCAGAAGATGATTGTTGTTCATTTGTTACATCTTGATGATCATTTGTTACATCTTGATGATCATT